CTTCAAGGTGTGAAAGGTAAGGATGGCAAACAAGGAGAATACTGTACTATGTACGAGACTCCCTGCACCAGTCTGAGTATTCATGTGTCAATGGGTACAATAGTTACTTGTGTCTGCTCAACAGCTTGTGAAAATGTTCTCTTATGTTCTGTAGTTTTCCATCTTTAGAGTCTTGTCTCGTTAAAGTATGCTGCGAAAACTGCATCAGAATCTTTTGCTACTTAAGGTACAAACACATGACCTAGATTTCCTCAGTTGGATTTACCCCTACCAAAGACTGATGAGAAAGAGACCAGTGTTAGGAGGTGGCCACAGAGAGATAGATTTTCTGGTAGTTGTGGTGGAAGGGGGTGGTTCTGGTTCTTCTGGGGTTGTGGTGCTGGAGTTTCTGGCACTCAATCTCAGATATGATCAGTGCTGAGCAGTGAGTGGTGGTAGCAGGGCTGTTTTCACTAATACTTTTCCCCACAGGTAGAAGATGGGCATTATTTCTGTATTTCTAGCTGCTTAGCATTTTAAGTCCAATTCTCTGATTCTTTGAGATTCTGAAACTTTTTCATATGTTCAATAAGCCTCATTTTGCTTAAATTAGTTAGAAATTATCCTATGATTTTCAACCAAGAGTCTTGACTTGAATAATGGAAATGAGAAATAGTAACAGAGGGGCAGTTTAACTTCGGTTATTATAGCTAGAAAGGGCGTTGGAAATGGAATGTTGAATGTGACCATAGACTAAAAGAATTTGATAGAGATTTTCAGGTATCTTCAAATATGGAAGTTGTTTTCTTGCTTAAATGAAGGAGTGTTTTCTTAACTTCCCCTACAGCTTTATAAGAAAAAGCATTAAGGAAAAAAAATCTTGGGCATTTACAAAAGTTTGGTAAATAGCATGAAGAAAATAAGTCCTGAATCATCATCGGTGATAATTTATTATTTGCTTTTTGGTGTATTTTGTTTGATATTTTACTATGCACATGCATAGTTACTCTTAGGCGTTTACTACACAATGTAGCTTCATTAAAGAAAAATTAGAAATGTAAAGAGTGCAAAACCAAAGGAAAAGTCTCCTGTAATGATTAATTTATGTGTAAACTGGCCAGGCTATATATTTCCTAAAGTGATTTAATAAAACCTAACTTAGGATTACTGTGAAGATATTTTAGCAATGCGATTAACATCCACAACCAGCTGACTTTAAGTAAAGGAGATTACTCTCTATAATGTGGATCAGCCTTATCCTAGCAGTTGAAGGTCTTATAAGCAAAAACTGAAGGTTCCCACAGAAGAAGAAATTCCGCCTCAAGACAGTATTATACAAAGCCTGCCTATGTTTCTAGCCTACTGACCTATCCTTTGAGTTTTAAACTTGCCAGGCCCCGCAATCCTATAGTGTGTGTATACACACACACACACACACACACACACACACACACACACACACACTATATATATATGTATATATATCCTATTAATTGTTTCCTGGAGAACCCTGACTGATACATTCCCCCATAAGACCATCACCCTCTAATATCACATGCTATATCATGGTATCTTTACTAATTTTTTTCTTTTCTTTTCTTTTCTCAGACCTCTCAGGGATGAATTTTTTTTTCTATACAGAGTCATGCAATGCATAACAATATTTCAGCCAGTAATGGACCACATATACAATGGTGGTCCCATAAGATTAAAATGGAGTGGAAAAATTCATATTGTACAAAAATGTTGTAGCCATCCTAATGTAGCACAATGCATTGCTCATGTGTCTGTGCTGATGGTGATGTAAAGAAAACTACTGTGCTTCCAGTTGTATAAAAGTATAGCACATATAATTATATACAGTATATAATGCTAGACAATGATAATAAACAACCATGTTACTGGTTTATATATTTACCATACTATAGTTAAAAAAAATTTTTTTAACTTTTTGAGACAGAGTCTCACTCTGTCTCCCAGGCTGGAGTGCAGTGGTGAAATCTCAGCCCACTACAACCTCTGGCTCCAAGGTTCAAGCGATTCTCCTCCCGCAGCCTCCTGAATATCTGGGATTAGAGGCACATGCCACCATACCTGCCTAAGTTTTGTATGTTTATTAGAGACAAGGTTTCACCATGTTGGCCAGGCCGGTCTCAAACTCTTGACCTCAAGTGATCTCCCCACCTTGGCCTCCGAAAGTGCTGGGATTGCAGGCATTTCCCACCATGCCCAGCCCCATACTATACTTTTAATCATTATTTTAGAGTGCACTTCTACATATGTATAAAAAGAATTAACTGTAAAACAGCCTCAGGCAGCTCTTTGAAGAGGTATTCCAGAAGAAGGCATTGTTATCATAGGAGATGACAGTTTCACGAGTGTTACTGCCCCTAATGACCTTCCGGTGGGATAAGATGTAGAGGTGGAAGACAGTGATATTGATGATACTGACCTTGTGTAGGCCTAGGATGTGTGTGTTTGTGTATTATTTTTTAACAGGAAAATTAAAAAGTTAAACGAATAAATAAAATAGATAAAATTCTTATAGAATAAGAATATAAAGAAAGAATATATTTTTATATAGGTGTACAATGTGTGTTTTAAGCCAATTTATTACAAAAGATCCAAATTAAAAACCTCAACTTTAATTTTTTTTAAATTAAAATTTTAATTAAAAAAATTAAATTTATAAAGGTCTACAAAAAGCTGTTTAATTTCTTATTGAACAAATAAAAATATCTATTTATGAATTTAGTGCAGCCTAAGTGTATAGTGTTTATAAAGTCTACAGTAGTGTATAGTAATGTCTTAGGCCTCACATCCAATTACCACTTACTGATTCACCCACAGTAATTTCCAGTCCTTAAAGCTGTTTTCATGGTTAGCACCTTATACATGTGTATCATTTTTTAACTCTTTCATACTATATTTTAACTGTACCTTTTCTATATTTAGATATGTCTATATACACAAATATTTACCATTGTGTTACAATTCCCTACAGTGCTCAGTATAGTAACATATTCTACAACTTTGTAGCCTAGGAGCAACAGGCTATACCATGTAGCCTAGATGTATAATAGGCTATACCTTATAGGCTTGTGTCAATATACTTCATAATGTTCACACAATGATGAAGTTGCCTTGTGACACTGTATTAGACTGTATTCCCATAGTTAAGTGATACATGACTGTATATGTGTGCAACTATTTACCCATTTATTTACAAAAATAGGATAATACCATTCACACTGTATGTTAGTATGCTTTTTCCCCCACTCAATAGTGTACCTTGAATACATTTCCAAATCAATGAATATACTTTTAAAAACATCATTTTTATTTATTGCTACATTTTTGACAATAATCAAGACAGGTAAACAACCTAAATATTCATCAACCAATGAATCAATAAAGAAAACACACACACACACACACACACACACATATACACCACAATGGAATGTTATTCACTCTTAACAAGGAAGGCTATCCTGCCATCTGTGACAATATGGATAAACCTGGAGGACATTATGCTACATGAAATAAACCAGATAAAGCAACAAATACTGCCTGATTTCACTTATATGTGGAATCTAAAATAGCCAAATTTACAGAAGCAGAGAGTGGAATGGTGTTTGCTAGGGAATGGGGAGGGGTAAATTGGGAGATGTCAGTCAAAAGATACAAAGTTTCAGTTACCCAAGATGAATAAATTCTTATAGACCACCACAATGTGGTGATTATAAGACTACCATATTGTATACTTTACATTTTTTAAGCAGATAGGTCTTAAATATTCTCATCACACCAAAAAAGAGGAAAAAGAAAATAAGAACGGTAACTATGTGGGGTGATATATATGTTAATTAGCTTGATTGTGATGATTATTTTACAGTGTATGTGTATATCAAAAATCAAGTTGTACATCTTTAATGTGTAGTTTTGATTATTATACCTTAAAAAAGCTGAAAAAATGTTCACCAGTTTTATAAGCAAAAAAACAAAGAAACAAACAAATAAACCTCATCATTTTTAGTGCCAGTATATTATCCCATTGTGTGAATAGTGCAATTTCTGAAAATAGCTCTAAAGATATCCTTTAAAAGTCCTAGAATTCGAACTACTGGATGAATAAAATTTATATTTTAAAGACTTTTGGTACATACTGCCAAATTGCTCTAAAGAAAACAAATATCAACTTAACTCTTACTTATGAGTGTCCTTTCCCCACACTTTAACCAATCCATTTTATTATCATGCAAATTATTTTCTAATTTTGAACTTTAAAAACCTAAAATGTATTATTTTTTAAAAATGTTTGTGTTGGTATATATGTATTTTTACCTAATTGAGATTACAGTGTATGTACATATGTAAGTAAATATATATTCTACTTTTAAAAATACTTATTACAAATAATTTCTTATACTATAAAACTTTCTAATTCATTTTAGTGACCTAATAACATTCCCCAGCACAGATGTACCATAGTTGACTTATGCATTCTGCAATTATACTCTCTCATTTTTGCCAAAATTTCTATTTCCTTAGGATATTTTCTCAGAATGGGATTATAGGCCCCAAAATTAGGAATGTTTATGAGATTCTGATACCAGTGAATGAACTCATTATTAGAATAAGTCTGTTTATTCATCAATCTTGAATATTGGCTTAAAAAGTGAGAAAAAACCTTACAATGTGTTATATAAGAGCAGAGCAGGTATTGCATTAAAAATGATAATGAGGGTTAATTTTGGCCCCCATCTACATTCATTTGCTATTTCTATTTCTTGTTTTATAAATGAGAATGAGGGACTTGAAACAAGTATTTAGTGAATCCATTCACATTGGGAAAGTGTTTCCCAGGTTTCTACATTTGCATTAACTTACACTATAGCGTGGGAGAAATAGCTAGAGCAACAAAAATGGAATTGATAAAGTAAATAAATTGTAAATATGACTTTTGATAAATTACATATGTGCACATACAAACCTATTTACAATTACCTGTCTTTTAGGGCCAGAGGATCTACTACCACAGAACATTTCTAGATGTCAATTCCTGGTATGAAAGGATTGGGAGTTAACAGAAGAGCCGCAGAGAGGTAGAGTTTGCTGTGTTTATATTTGCATTGAAGTTATTTTAAAATATTAGTTTATCTTCCTGCACATAATATTTTTATTTTATAGCATACATGGAATCTATATGTTTGATTCTATAGTATAAATTCCTTTCTTCTCAATCAGCCTTTTTGGCCGTTTTGTTAAAGATCACAGTGTAGCCACATGAAGGAAAAGCATTTGAATCTGGGTTAGCCCTATCCATGGTGAGAGTTACTACCTGAGTGCCAGGCTGGGATTGGATAGATCAGGCATACAGCAGCCTGTCTTACAGAATGGTGTCTGAACAGGATAATTTCTGGTTCAATGTAGCCTTCCTTGGTTTTAACCTGTATCACATGGGCTTGTCTAAAAGGAACAATATCCCTTAATATTGAAAATTTTCTAACACAGCAGTCGTCAAATTATCATCCACATACCCCTGGGGATCCTGATTATCTTTTAAGGGTGTTTGCAAAGCCAGCATGATTTACCTAATAATCCTGACATGAATTTGAGCTTTCAAATGAAATTAAAGTTTCAGAAAACTTATATCCACTACCTGAGATTGATGGCTTCTTAACACTTAGAGATTTTATTATGAAATTGGAAATGTTAACTAATGCAATTTTAAACATATCATATGATAAAATGTGTCAATATTTGGAACATCTGTATAACTCAGTGAATCAATATTGTCCAAATAACAATGCATGGGGTTACAAAATTATGCATGGATAAAAACCCTATTCAAAGCTCAAGACAGACCAATGGATTTTAAGTTAAGAGAACACAAAAAGTTTATTGGTCTAGTTTCAGAGAGTCCACATTCTGTCTTTTAAAAAAACAACTTGTTGAATCTTGGTGTAGTATCACAGAAGAATATCCACAACTATGTTCCTTCCTTTTTCAGCCATATCTATGTGAAGCTACCTTTTCTTAATATTCTTCAACCAAAATGTCATTTTGCAGCAGGTTGAATGCTGAAATATATAGCAGAATCCAACATTCTTCTATTAAGCCAGACATTAAAGAGATTTGCAGAAATATAAAACAATGCAATTCTTCTTGTTAACATTTTTTGGAAACATAATTATTTTTCATAAAGGTATGTTATTTATGTCAATATACAATGGGTTTATTACTGTAATTTTAGAATTAATTAATAAATAGATATTTATTTTTTCCATTTTAAATACAGAAAGTTTCAACAGATATAACTCACATAAACAAAACCCTTTGGGGTCCTCAATAATGTTGAGTATGACTAGTATATGAGTCCAAACACTTTAAGAACTGCTATCCTAACAAATTGTTCTTGAATAATTTTGCATGTGAATATCATCAGGCTCTCCCAAGTAAGGTAATGCATTCAGCAATAGATTAGGATGACCTCTGGCTTTGAATATAAAATTGGGTGTTATGGTCAATAACAGTCACACAAGTAATTAATTGAGAAGTCAGAAAGAAAAACACAGCTTTCAAAAGCCCCTTGAGTATTTTGCTCATGTGTGCCCCACTGTTGGATGTGGTTACTGAGGTGTGCTGGTGAGTGCAGCTGTTGGTCTCCTAGGGGAGTTATTTGCTTTGCTTTGTCATACACATGCTCTTTTGATCTCAGATACTAGTTTCTGTCTGGCTTCCTTGTGGTTAATACATCTGACATATGGCTTGTTTCTTTGTCTATCTTTTATTATGTTATTTCATCGGGCTACTTTGAAATCAATATAAGCAATAATCGGCAGACTACAATTTGGTTTTAAGTGCATTTTCTTATCAAGATACATAGAGTTATATGGCATTCTTATGATCCGGTGCTTCAACTGATGACATATAATGTAGTATTAAATAAAACTATACAGCCTGGCATAGTTAAGTGTATTGTTAAATACATCAAACATAAAAACAGAAGAGCGAAAAAGGTATATAAGGTGCTCATAGATAACCAAGCAGCTGAATGAAAATATGGAAAGATATTTCCCTGTTGCTTTTCTAATGTCGCTACTTCACTTTCTCTAAGCTTTGGATTTCTCTCCACATTTCCTTTTTCCCTAGGACTCTGGATTCTCAGCTAGTGTTTGATACTATTTAAGGGTTCCATCAGTTTAATGCTCACACAGCATTTATTAGCTATGCGAACTTGACCAGGTAAATTCAGCCATTTGTGCTACTACTGTATTTCCCTCTCAGTAAAGTGGGGATAATAATAAGTGTATCTACATCACTGAATGAAGAATATGTGAAACCACCCACGTGTACTGGGCGCAGCATCCTGACTACCACCCCCAGTGGATCCTCCCTGGGTATCAGCTATTATTCTTCTCTATTTTTACTCATTGGCACTTTCATCTCATTTGCGAAAGAACTATATTAATTAATTCAACAGACACATATTTAATAACTGTTGCATACCAGGCATTGTGCTAGGATGAGGGATACAACAGTGAATAAAAACAGTGCTCATGAAAGCAGAGGGCATATTTATGTAGTATTTATGCTATTTCTGGTCTTTATCACGCTATCTGGCACAGAATAGGTATTTCATAAATATGTGCCAAATAAGCAAATAACCGACCTTATATTATTATTCTTAATTTACAGATGAAGAAACTGAGACTTAGAAAGGAAGAAAGAGTCACCCAGGTAGCTGGTCACAGAATCCCTCCCTAGGGATCTAGGAAGAAAGTGCTAACATTGCTAAGTCATGCTGCTTGAGAAGGGTTAATCTGGCTTCTCAATTTCTAAGTTCCAAAGCACATCATGAACCTGCACATAAACTAAATGTTCAACAACACTTTCCATAAGTACTCATTGATGTCCACCTTGTTGGACAAGACATTGTGCTAATCTTTGGAATATTGCCATTAACCTGAGAGACATTAGAGGAGCTTCCATTCCATTCAGGGAGACAGCTATGAAACACCTGGTTATGTGTGTGGTTGCCTTGTGATAAACACTATGGAGACGCATATACCAGAGGTTCTGACTTAAGCTGGTATGCTGGTCAGAAAGACTTCCCTGAGGAAAGAATTTGTAAACTAAGTGCTAAAGGGTGAGTAGGAAAAAATCAACTAGAAAAGAAATGGAGGAAAAGCATTTCTGGCAGAATAGCATGTTCAAGAACTTGGAGCATTTGCATGCTAGAGGAAGGCCAGTGTGCTATACCCAGAGGCTGAGTGAGGCAGGAAGATGACATGGAACTATGGGAACAGGTTGGGGCCAAATTCTCCAGAGCTTCAGACCCACACTAAGCGTTTTTTTAAGATAGAGTGTTGTTCTGTCGCCAGACTGGAGTGCAATGGCACTATCTCGGCTCACCGCAACCTCCACCTCCCTGGTTCAAGCATTTCTGCTGTCTCAGCCTCCCGAGTAGCTGGGACTACAGGCTCACCCCACCACGACCAGCCAATTTTGTTTTGTATTTAATAGATACGGGGTTTCGCTATGTTGGCCAGGATGGTCTTGATCTCCTGACCACAGGATCTGCCTGCTGCGGCCTCCCAAAGTGCTAGGATTACAGGCGTGCATTTTGGTTTTATCATAAGTACTCTTCAGTGAATTTTCAAAAAGAGAGTGATGTGATAAGATATGCAATTTGGAAACATCATAGTTGAAAGAAGATGGCAGTGTGGACCAGGATGGTAGAACTGGAGACAAACATGTGAGCAGGCTTGAGAGATACTCAAGAGGTTGGGTTCATAGACTTGTGACTTAGATCAGGGAGATGAGCAGGAGGCAGATCTGAGTTTTATGGGGTCTGAAGCTCATGCAATTGGAAAGCTCTTTCAGAAATGGACACTATATATGGGAAGGGCCTAAGATGACTGTCAAGGTCTTAGGCATTTCATATAGACACAGTAACATATGTACAAGGAAGAGGAGGTATCTCTTCTCTGCACCTCTTTTTATTAGGAACCAACACTTTTCTCAGAATCCTCCCCAGCATTCCTTTCACATGTAGAAAATTGGGTAGAAAAATAGATAATTCCTTCCAATTCTGAGACTCAGTGATTGTGGTGGGAACAAAACATATTAGGAAGTACATTCTCATCAGCAAGCTGAGGAGACAATCCACATCTGTGCTCTAGTGAAAAGATATAATTATTGTTCAATAAGATACTTTGTATATAATGGTGCTGGGACAACAGGGATAAAAGAAAGCTCTCCTGGACAAATTGGAACAATGACCGCTCCATCTGTTGTGGATGTAAGTGACTGGGTGAGTTCCCTCTCTTCTTCCCACCTCTGAATAGTGTTCCCTGCCCTTGTATCACTGCTGCTGGGCTCTGGCTCATCTTCCTCACTGACCACAGTTGGCGCCTGTTTTCTGTCAGCTGACTGGCACTGCAGCATTTTCCACTGGGGCAAGGAGAAGGCATGAGCTATAAGCACTCAGAAGTGGTCAGGAGTGTGGGGGGATTGTTAGCTTTACTTCTGATGAGACTCAGACTCAAGCTGGGAAATTATTAATGGGAGGCATTTGACTAGGAGGTAGTGTCTTTCCAAGTGAGCTAAGAGAACACTGGTCCTTGAATATGCTCCAGGAGAAAGAGATTCTGTCTGGAGAAATGCTGACAAATGCACCCCTGAAGAGTCTTGGTGCACACTAGGATATTTAAAAAGCTATTAAGAAGTCCTACAATGGAGAAATGCAAAAAACTCAGGTTTTGTCCATGACTATGCAAGACCAGCGCATCCTTTTTAAACACACACACCTCACACCACTGATAAATATGCTGAAGAATAGACTTGGAGAAACTTTTTAAGAAGAAGGCATATTAACATCAAGGCAGGAAGGCCAAGAAATGGGGAGACAAAGAGAATGGCCCAATATACTAGAATACTCCTAGAGTCAATGTGCTGGTTCTTAATATATCTTAGCATTCTTGGGACTGAGCTACACATGAATTCGTGGGATTGATTCTTCATCTAAATGTTGCTTGAGTTATTGCATTGTTCTGTTGCTTTCCAGGAACGTTTGTTCATTTCAGAATAGGCCGAGGAGTGATGACTGACAAGGACAACTTCTCTCACACTTAAATTTATTGTAGTTTCCAAAATTTGAAGTAAAGAAGCAATATAAACTCTATCTAGGTGTTCCTGGAAGCATGAGATCACTCATTAAGGCATCAGTTAGCAAAATTTGGAAGTAAAGTGAAAAAGTGAAATACAGTGAAAGAGCAAAAAGATGGGGTTGGATAAACCAGTTTTAAAATTGTGGCTTAACTGCGCAAACTTTGGCAAATGATTTAACCTCTTAAATCATTTATGAATTTAATTAAACAATGCACTTTCCAAATCTCAGTGTCCATATATGTAAAAATACTTCACTTGTAGGATAATGCAAGCATTAGAAATAGTATGCCTCTTATTCATGAATTATTATCATTATGAAAATATAGGAAGTGTGTGCTTAATGCAAAGAAAATGTTCAGTTAACAAAAGCTATTTCTATTATCTAAAATGATAGAAAAGAATCTACATTGTAAGATTCCTATAGCCCAGGAAGTCATAGTCTGATCATGGAACAGAAGGAGCAGAGTGAATAATTTAAACTGTCATGTATATTAATGCTACTGCCTTGCAAATTACAAGGCAGTAAGGAAAACATTTCTCTTCCTCCTCATGAGTTTAAGTTTGTATTTAATAATAAATATTTATTTCATACTATAAATGTCACCTTTTTTGTCTTGCTAATATAAGGCATAATTCAGATACTGGAATTACTGCTAGGTTAAAGTTTCAACTCTATGCCTTGCTATCTGTATGACCTTAACCATGCAAACAAACCATGTTACCTCTCAGTGCCTCACTTTTTTCATCCTCAAAATAAGGACAATAATATTATTTACCTCATATATGTAATTAAACAATGCACTGTGCTGTGAATGTAGTTAAGAAAGAAAAGCTGTTTATCATTATTACTGTTATACTTTAAGTTCTGGAGTACATGTGCAGATTGTGTAGGTTTGTTACATAACTATACATGTGCCATGGTGTTGGTTTGCTGCATTCATCGCCCATCATCTACATTAGGTATTTCTCCTAATGCTATTCCTCCCCAATACCCCCACCCCCTGCTATTCCTGCCCTAGACCCCTACCAACCAGGCCCCAGTGTGTGATGTTCCCCTCCCTGTGTTCATGTGTTCTCATTGTTCAACACCCACTTATGAGTGAGAACATGCGGTGTTTGGTATGCTGAGAATGATGATTTCCAGTTTCATCTATGTCTCTGCAAAGGACATGAACTCATCTTTTTTATAGCTGCATAGTATTCCATGGTGTCTATGTGCCACATTTTCTTTATCCAGTCTATCATTGATAGGCATTTGGGTTGATTCCAAGTCTTTGCTATTGTGAACAGTGCTGCAATAAACATATGTGTGCATGTGTCTTTATAATGGAATAATTTATAATCCTTTGAGTATATACCCAGTAATGAGATTGCTGGGTCAAATGATATTTCTATTTCTAGATCCTTGAGGAATCACCACACTGTCTTTCACAATGGTTGAATTAATTTACACTCCCACCAACAGTGTAAAAGTGTTTCTATTTCTCCACATCCTCTCCAGCATCTGTTGTCTCCTGATTTTTTAATGATCGTCATTCTAACTGGTGTGAGGTGGTATCTCATTGTGGTTTTGATTTGCATTTCTTTAATGACCAGTGATGATGAGCATTTTTTCATATGTTTGTTGGCTATGTAAATGTCTTCTTTTGAAAAGTGCCTGTCCATATCTTTTGCCCACTTTTTGATGGGATTTTTTTTCTTGTAAATCTGTTTTAGTTCTCTGTCGATTCGGATATTAGCCCTTTGTCTGATGGGCAGATTGAAAACATTTCTTCCCATTCTGTTGGTTGCCAGTTCACTCTATTGATAGTTTCTTTTGCCGTAAAGAAGCTCTTAAGTTTAATTAGATCCCATTTGTCCATTTTGGCTTTTGTTGCCATTGCTTTTAGTGTTTTAGTTATGAAGTCCTTGCCCATGCCAATATACTGGATGGTACTGCCTAGGTTTTATTCTAGAGTTTTTATTTTGCTAGGCCTCATGTTTAAATCTTTAACCCGTCTACAGTTAATTTTTGTACTAGGTGTAAGGAAGGGATACAGTTTCAGCTTTCTGCATATGGCTAGCCAGTTTTCCCAAAAGCATTTATTAAATAGGGAATCCTTTCCCCATTGCTTGTTTTTATCAGGTTTGTCAAAGATCAGATGATTGTAGCTGTGTGGCGTTCCTTCTGAGGCCTCTGTTCTGATCCATTGGTCTATATCTCTGTTTTGGTACCAGTACCATGCTGTTTTGATTTTAGTAGCCTTGTAATATAGTTTGAAGTCGGGTGGTGTGATGCCTTCATCTTTTTCTTTTTCTTTTCTTTTTTTTCTTTTTTTTTTTTTTGCTATGTGGGTTCTTTTTTGGTTCCATATGAAGTGTAAGGTGTTTTTTTTCCAATTCTTTGAAGAAAGTCAATGGTAGCTTGATGGGGATATCATTGAATCTATAAATTATTTTGGGCAGTATGGCCATTTTCGTGATATTGATTCTTCCTAACCATGAGCATGGAATGTTTTTCCATTTGTTTGTGTCCTCTCTTATTTCCTTGAGTAGTGGTTTGTAGTTCTTCTTGAAGAGGTCCTTCACATTCCTTGTTAGTTGTATTCCTAGGTATTTTAATCTCTTTGTAGCAGTTGTGACTGGGAGTTCACCCATGATTTGGCTCTCTATTATTGATGTATAGGAATGCTTATGATTTTTGCACATTGATTTTTGTATCCTGAGACTTTGCAGAAGTTGCTTATCAGCTTAAGGAGATTTTGAGCTGAGATGATGGAGTTTTTTAAATATAGAATCATGTTATCTGCAAACAGGGACAATTTGATGTCCCCTTTTCCTATTTGAATATGCTTTATTTCTTTCTCTTGCCTGATGGCCCTAGCGAGAACATCCAATACTGTATTGAATAGGAGTGGTGAGAGAGGGCATCCTTCTATGGTGTCAGTTTTCAAAGGGAATGCTTCCAGGAAAAGCTGGGGGTGTTGTTGTTGTTGTTGTTGTTGTTGTTTGAGAGGGAGTCTCTCACTCTGTCTCTAGCCTGGAGTGCAATGGTGCAATCTCGGCTCACTGCAACCTCTGCCTTCCAGGTTCAAGCAATTCTCCTGCCTCAGCCTCCTGAGTAGCTGGGACTACAGACATGTGCCACCACA